TTCCTTGACCTCCTCCCTAGATGGGAGAAGGGTTTCCCCTCTGGTACTTGGCCTTCATGGCATGGGAGGGGCGAGAGCCCCTCCGAGATTGGATCTGTCTCTCTGTCTTTCTTTGTTTCTGCGTTCTCGTCTGCTGCCCTTTCACCGTTTTGTATATATATGGAGATCCGTAACTCCGATTGGCCTCAGACCTTCGCCATGATTTTTTTACCAAAAATTAGCTTTCTTGCGGCCGAAGAAGGGCATCAATAGCCTTACGGGTGGCCCATTAGGGTCAGGGGCGCGCCCCCTGCCTCGTGGCCACCTCGGGCACCGTCTCGCGTGGATTTTTCTTCCGAAATTTTCCAAATATTCCAAAAATAAGCTCCGTCCATTTTTATCCCGTTTGGATTCCGTTTGATATGGATATTCTGTGAAACATAAAACATGCAACAAACAGGAACTGACACTGGGCACTAGATCAATATGTTAGTCCCAAAAATAGTACAAAAAGTTGTCAAAAGTATATGAAAGTTGTATAATATTGGCATGGAACAATCAAAATTATAAATACGACGGAGACGTATTAGGCACTACAACAAGTGATACTACCTAGAAGATGGCATCTATCTGAGATGGTCCACATTTGTGAAGACTATCTCAAACCCTCTGCCAGGAGGCAAGAACTCCCACTTTGTGAAGGTTCGGGAGGCTTGCAGGAAGGATGTCGAGCGGGCATTTGGTGTGCTCCAATCTAGATTTTCTGTTGTCCGGTACCCTGCTCAGACCTGGTCAAAAAATCAAATGTGGGAGATCATGACTTGTTGTGTCATCTTGCACAACATGATCATTAAGAGCGAGCATGAAGAACTAGTGTTTGACACTGAAGCATATTACAGGCAGGGTCCTCTTGCCCAAGTTGATCACCACCTACTGGCAACCTGGACAGCCTTCCTCAATATGTGTCAGGAGATCCGAGACCCACTGGTGCATCAACAACTGCAGCAGGATCTGGTGGAGCACCTCTGGAGGCTCAAGGGCAATGCCTAGCTCGATGTGTGATGAAATATGAGTTTTTATTTTTTAAACTATTTTTAAACTATATAATTTGTATTAAACTATTTGATTTCTACTTATTTTCTATGATGAACTATGTGACAAAAATAGCTTATATCCAATTTGTGCCGAAGTACGCCGAATACGGGCTGAAATTGGTCAATTTGCATCGATAGTGGACCAATTTGCGCCAAAAATGAGCTGAAAAGCGGGCCAATTTACGTCGAAAATGGGCCGAAATCGGTGCCTGGGGGCGGCGGCTGGGAACCCAATCACCCCCACGCCGATTTTCCAGTCGGCGCGTCCCAGGGCGATGTTATTTTAAGCCTCGGAGAGGCCGAAGGGCTGAAGATGCTCTTAGTACCTCTAAGGGCCTATTCTGAAACTCTCTAACTTCTCAAAACTCCACAATTCCAGCTTCTCATCGTGGCTTCTAGCTCCATGCAGCGAGTTTCATCCGTTCGGTAGCAAAATCAGCTTCTCCATCGCTACTTGGGCTGGCAGCGGCTGCTGGCCTGTCTACCGCCATATTAGGCCGACTGGGCTGTAGTAGGGGATCCTCCCACCTAGCCCATCTTCTCTACAGGTCGTCTTCAACCTTCAGTTCACGCACAGGAACAAACTGGACACAGAACTACTACCAATTACATATCAAATCAGGTGGTTTAGACCTCGAATCACATCAAATATGTCGCCCTATTCGCCGTGAATCCATTCCATCAGAGTGCACAACCTATTGTTCACTAGCCAAGGAGATCGAAAATGCATTCACCATGGCCGGACTAGAGCGTTCTGCTCTACGCTGGAGCATCAAGGACTTGGGGCACGCTGCTGGGGTGGAACTCAGAGGAGAGGAGGCGGCGGAGCTAGTTACGTTGGCGCGGGCCTCGCAGCTACGCGCTGATGCGGGCGGCGGCGGCACGTAACCCTAGCAGTCGCGCTGGAGAAAGAAGACGTGGCGTACATGTTCGAGCGAGGAAGAGCACAGCTTGAACCGTTTTCTGTTGCGATGGCATTCTAGTGGTAAATAAGAGGAACTCCATATTCATGAAAACACGGAGCTGGGTTTCCTCGCTTCACCAAATTGCACTGCGGCCCAGGATCGCTTCGTGGATTTTAGCTTCCTGGAGCAAAAGCGTTCGGGCTGGAGCCACTCTCATATTTTGAGAAGTTTGGAGCTGGATAGTTTTAGAACAAGCCCTAAGTGTATTCATGAGCGCCTAGCATTGAAAGGGCTTAATCGGTGGTCTTCGATTGGGTGCACCAGGTGAGCGAGTAACCATTGAAGGGGAAAATATCTGGTACTCCCACCCCTAGGGTGCTCCCAATGCTCCAAACTCGCTAGAACATTTTAAAATGTTCAAAAAATTCTGAAAACAATCTAGCACATTGACACAACATCAATATATGTTGTTAAAAAATTCAAATCAAAATTTAAAACATTGCTCGAGATACAAAAATGACAAAATGTACACCAATGTGATATGGGCCTAATCTAAAGCCCAACTTATATTGTGTACTATTTACTGTGGAATTTGTCATTTATGTTTCTGAAGCTATATTTTGAATTTTGATTTCATATTTTTTGACAACATACTTTGATGTTGTGTCAATGTGCTGGATTTTTTTCAGATATTTTCGAACAGTTACAAATGTGCTACCGAGTTTTGGAGCACCGGGAGCACCTTAGGATTGGGGGTACTAGATATTTCCCCACCATTGAAGGTGTGGATGGTGACGCTACAACAGAAGGTAGAATGACACAAAAGTTTATTGCAGATGCTGATAAAAAAGAACGTATAAATTGTACATCAAATGAAATCTAGAAGGAAGAAGTGGAGAGGAAATTATACAAACAATCAACTATTTCGGCTAAATTTGCATAGATCACTTACACTTTGGTTTGTTGCACAAAACACTGATGTAGTTTTTTTTTTTTGCGAATATATCAGATCTATTATAAAGATTCGCCAAAAGTACAAAGCACCTCAAACATAATAAAAATTACATCGAGATCCATGGACAACCGAACGACCATTGCCGCTGCCAGAACGAGCCGCCAACGCGTCGTTGTCTCCGCTTTCATATCAGAGCCGGCCTGACCTTGTCTATGACAACCGGGAAGCCTTCGTGCACGTGTCCCTAAGGACTAGCGTTCGGGAGCTACATCTATCGACATTGAATCCTTGAATCGATCTGAAGAACCTGACACCAAATCTCGCCGTTGCTATGCAGGATGAGAAATCCTAACCTCGCCGCTCCGAGGAGCTGGCAGGAATCTAAGCCGAAGCTTTGTCTAATCCGTCCCGACGAACGAACGTGAGGAGGATCAGAGCCCGGAAGACTGCCTCGAAGAAAAAGCGTCGCCATCCGTCTGAGCGCCGCCCTTGCGCCCTCCCCGCCACCGGCAGGCGGAGGGGAGGTGAATCCACGGACTCGTCGACGAAGATCAAAGGGAGAAAGGCTTTCTCTAGTCGCCTTGCGAGAGTGGAAAGAAAAGGTTGCACACACATATTTTGATGTAGTTGTAGGTAGCTCTAATCCACCATTTGATCATGTTGACATGATCTGTGCGCACATGGCAAAAAAACATGCCACATCAGTCAGCTCTCGCTAACTAAAACTTCCAATATCTCTCTAAACTATGGTTAGAATGAGTCAATTTTTCTGAATCAATACTCGGTATATATATGTTTCTTTAAAAAAAATCTACTCTTTGAAAATATTGAAATTAACAATTGAGTCAACAAATCACTGATATCTCCAAAAACTTGTGGTCCAAATAAGTTAAAAGGCTCTCAAAGCACATGATATATATACTTTTTTATTTTTAAAATATTAAATTTTACCAAAAATCATAATGACCAACTAAAACTCTATGAAATACATCGCAAAAAAAACTCTATAAAATATTGGCAGTTTTTATTGGACATGACCATATTTTCATATATATTTTTGCCATCGTGTGCACTTAGAAACAAGTCCCACTCACCAGGAATCATGCCAACATAGTGAAATGATGGATTAGAGATAATTACAACAGGCTACAACGATAGAAGGTGTTTTGTGCAAAATCAACCATCGATTACATTCATGCAATTTCCACAGGAAGAGGAAGATAAATCTGACTAAAAATGATAGGAATCGGATAACGACCAAACGTCACGTACAGACACATGACAAATGAACGATTTCAAGGATGGCAACTTTAGTAGGCAAGCATACCGACTTTATGCCTCAATTTATTTTTTGACACAAAATGGTCGCTTGTGTCAACTAACTTGTCATTCTTGCATCACTAGAATCGTCATCGTTTTATTTCCTCAAGAAGCAGAAGATAAATCTGACTTAAAATGATAGGAATCTGATAACGACCGAACGTCGCGTACATGCACACGGCGAATCAAACGATTTTCTATGACAAGTTTAATGACACAAGGATGGCAACTTTTAGTAGGCAAGCATGCCAACTTCGTGCTTTAATTTATTTTTTGATGTGTGTCGACTAACTTGTCATTCCTGCATAGTAGAATTGCCATCGAATTGCCATGTGCTCATACGTTACGTACTCATCATTTCCGAAATGATATCGGCAAGGAGAAAGACAACCCTAATTTGGATCAAACATTAGAACCTTTTAGGGCATCTTTAATTGACAACGTTCGGATCAAAAGAACGTTTGCTTTGGAAAGCAGGACCACGTACTGAACATGGATCATTAGCCAGTTACATTTTTTAAAACAAAAGGACTTGGCAAAGTAACAAGACGATCAGCATGCTGTCTTCAAGAGACAAAGCACGTTTCTGATTGAGATGTTGATACCATTAACAAAATTTCAGGCTGCCACTCGTTACTGATAATAACAGCATGTTCATATGATAAAACTAACAGATGAGTAAACAAGCTCCCAGAGCAAACAGTTTCCAACAAGCAAAGCGGCCATAACAGCACTGCGAAGAACATTTCACTCGTCCTCCTGGCTGCGAAGCCTAGCAAGCTTGTTTGTGACAACAATATCCAGCTGCACAGCACGCTCCACAATGTCCTTCCGCTTCTTGGTAGAGACGTTGTGGGCGATCTCAGCACAGTATGTCCTGTTGGCAATAAAAGCCATGCAAGAGTTAATCAGAAAATGAAGAATGTTGACACCGATCAGCACAATTCAGAATCAGAAGAGTGAAGAACCATCTAACTTGAGAATATTAGGTTCTTGACACCAATCAGCACCTAATATTGGCAGTGTAACTGTGTAAGTTACCTGTTGTGCATCATAAGCAGCTCCAGCTCGGAGACATTGTGGACAACAAACTTCTTGAACTTGTTTGGCAGGTAATGCCTGGTCTTCTTGTCAGAACCATAGCCAATGTTGGGCATCAAAGTACATCCCTTGAACTTTCTCTTCACACGGGAATCAATACCCTTTGGCCTGCGCCAGCTGGTTTGTAGATATAGAGGCGTGAAATTTTCGGTTTAAGCTGTTAAGCACACGTGTCACTAAGAAAAACATGTCAAGAACACAGAACTTGAGCATATAAGAAAGACAAAAGAAGTTTAGCATATGCTGCTGCTTATGTGTTGTCTAAAGCACGATGCCAGTCAGGAATAAGCTACAACTACAAGAAGCTATACTACATTCAGTTTTTAAGGTATTCATTCCAAATTATAAGATGTTCTAATTTTTTTCTGAATCGGATGTATATAGACACGTTTCGGGGGTCGCGCTATTCGTTACCCTGGGTGAGGAATAGTTATTCTCCAACAGGGAAAGAATTCGTTTGCTCGAAGGATCAGACAGAAGGCATAATCATGTGAAAGACAAGATTTTCTTCAGCAACCAGTGGATAACAAGTGTTGGGAGAAATCTAGGCAAGCACTCGTACTCAGAATGAAGCCACGCCTTTAATATCCAACCCACTTCATGGAATCATGAAGTTATTGTTGTAGAAGAGTTTGCGACGGCCACAGTGCTATACTTATGCAAGGGCCAGTGTGCTCTCTTACTTCATCCCAATGCTCACTGAAGAAAATGTTCTCTTCCTCAGACCTTTTACTAAGACATCATTTCCTTCCTTTCAAACCGCAAGATAGAAACAGTGAACCGAAACATCAGCAACGCTCAAAATTTGGCATCACCTTTGCACAAAGTGTTTAAATGATGTTTCAAGTCAAAATAAGCAAGGTTGATTGAACATGCAATAATTAGTTTCCTTCAAATTAACTAAAGATCCCAATACAAAAGAAACAACACCACATTTTCTACAGGCTATGTCCGGCTTCCACTTATCTACCATTTCAAAGTACCATTGTGCTATTCAAGGTTAACGATAAATTAGGAATACACCGCAACTACAACGACCAACAACAGTCACGCTTATAATTTAGCATCAGAAACTACCCCGAAAGTCTAACCTGCTACACCGGCGCACAGCAATCGCCATCTAGAGCCGGAGCACATCTCTGAACTAAGCAACCGAAACACGTGGCGCCTATGAATTCCACTGGGTAAAAGTTTGGTATAAGTGGTTACCTTGAGGCCGATGTAGCGGTCGCTATGGGCCCTCTTGAAGTGCTTGACCCTCTTCTTCACGATCTTCCTCGTCAGAAGCGGCACCGTCATCTCTGATCTGTCGGGCAAAACCAGCAGAAGGAGTTCGAATCAGATGGAGAAGATAGCATCGCAAGAAGACAGGGTGGGAGCTCTGCTACGGACTGCTTGCCGGTACCTGAGAAAGCTGACGACCCTAACTCTAACACGAGGAGGAAGAAGAACGGCGGCGGCGGCAGGGTTCTATTTGCAAGCCGGCGCGGTGTTTATGCCTTCCGCGCGAACCCTAGGTATGTGCTCTATGATGGGCCACTGCCGACTAGCCCACTACGAGAAAGATGCACTCTTGTTTTTTTCGACAAAGCGTGCACTTTATTAGCTCGAATGAAAGTTCTCAAAAAAAATTTAGCTCAAATGAAGCATCAAGAAATCATGGCACAAACTTTCGGTCGGTCGGCTGCTAGCCTTCCGATCTGAAAGTCGTGAGCCGTCAGATCTCACGTCCTTATTTTTCCCTTCCCTATCCTTCTTCCCCGCAAGCACAAGGAAACAAAAACGGATTTTTTTTCAAAACTATGTTATTTTTTGTAGCAATTTCAAAAACTATAGGACGTAATGCAAAAAAACCAAAACTAGTAGCCCGTCGGCCATTCTTTGGCCGAAGTACTACTTTTCGGCCACAGTTAGGCCGAAGTAGTACTTTTCGGCCATCCCCTGGTCGAAAAGGTACTTTTTGGTCAACTCTAGGCCGAAATAGACTTTTTGGTCTACTCTAGGCCGAAAAGTCACTTTTTGGTCAACCCTAGGCCGAAGTTGCATGGCTCATGCTGAAATGTATTTTGTCGCCACCCGTTTCCCGCCCACCCCTTCCCGCCATATGTTTCCGCCACCCGTCTCTCGCCAACCCCTCCCCGCCAATCCCTTCCCGCCTTATTTTCCCG